AGTAGAATTTGGGGCATTATGAAAAAGTAAACTGAAAAACTTCTGGCTGTATATAAGAAAACACATGGAGCAAACAAAGGAGGTCTACCTATTACCCTCTCTCTGCTATTCTCTGCGCACTACCACAAGTTGCCTATCAAGTAAGGCTTGGATTTTGGGTTTACTAAATTTGGAAAAGCTGTTAATTCCTAATATCAGAGGAATAGCAGTGTAACACTCAAATTTTTCATTGATCCTGCTTATAAAAAGATTTGTTCAGGATCTGCCAACAGTCACACGGTAGTCATAAACCAAATAACCAGATTAACAAAAAGGCCCCAGCCCTATCCATATTAATACACCTAAGACTTCCTTTATTTTAAATGCATTCATTAATAAAGGGTATTTTTTCCAAAATAGGAAACTGAGGCTTGGCAAGATATATTAAGCATTGCCCAATTTTTAGTATTTGAGCCAATTCCTAACTATTTGTAAAAACAGGATACTTAAGAGTGCAAGCTTTGAAGTCTGTCCTTTACTTAGTGTGACTCTAGGCTTTATCTCTGTAATGATCTTCACCTATTAAAATGAGAACTACCAACTTCATAGGTATATTGTGAACTTTGCTGGCACATCGCATGTATTCAGCAAATGCTAGCTATTACTAGGCAATACCATCAGTGTTAAAAGGTTTTTATTACAGCTTAGTAGATATTCTATTGGCTTTTCTTTATTTGAAATTTGTCTTTAACACACAGAAAAAAAGGAAAAAATTTTAAACTCATTCACATTAATGTACAGGAAGACAATCACTACAGGGTAAAAAAACATATACCTTACTTACACAAGTATGTACATAAAAATTTGGAAAAAAACAGCCATTCACATTTTACTGTATCTCTTGGGTGGGTTTTGTTTTCTTTATTCTTAAGTTTTCCAAAATTTCTTTAATGTATGTGGTCTTACTTTAATAAAGGAAACAGTTATTTGCAAATGAAAAGACATGTTTTTTACAACTTATATTACAATAAAATCTATAAAAACTAAGATTAATTTGCTTTCTGTAATAAATTGCAGTGCTGCTGGTTTATACTCCTTAGTATCTATGTACCACAAAGGAAGTAGTAAATATTAAACAATAAAGTACTATTCTGGTAAATACTAAGTGGAAGATACAGTTAAAAACACTTCACAAAATGCAGTTTAGATTACCTGAATATGACTTAAAATTGTTTTTACTATGAAAAATTCCAAACATACACAAAAGTAGACAATAATGATTCTCATGTACAATCAAGTCTTCAACAATTAACCTATCTTGTTTTTCATTTTACTATCCTCTATTTTAAAACAAATCCCAATTATGACATCAATAAGGATGTGTGTTCTTAAATGTTCTAAACAACCTGTGGTAAATTACAAAATTTGGCTACAAATCCCTCCCATTCAAGTATGCACAGTCCTTTGCAATGTGATGTTCATTGCTGCCTGGGAAGAGGTGAAATCTTATTTCCATCCCCTTTGAATGTAGGCTAACCTTGTGAGATTTATTCTGACTAAAAGAATGCAGCGTTAAGTGACATTATATGATCTGCCAGGCTGTAAGAATTCTTACAGCTTCCCCTTTCCTGTTCTTGGATTGTTGTTTTAAGAACCCCTGGTCATAAAAGAACACATGGAGCAAAGCCTAAATGTTAACCAACACCAACTGCCAGACATGTGAGTAATGCCATCTTGGACCTTACAGCCTGAGAAATCCTTCAGCTAAATACTGGTACATGAGTGAACCCAGGTAAAACCAGAATAATTGTCCAACAGGCACAGAGAACTGTAAAAAAAACAACAGTTTTAATCCACTAAATTTTGAGGTGGTTTGCTATGCAGCAATAAAGCTTCATAACTTATCCTAACTTTTACTTTCCTACAATTATATCATTATACACCTAGTTTCTATGAAAAAATCTGATTCAATTTCAGGGTCTAACTTAGAATTTTTTAATATCCAGGGGTGCTGTAGTTGCTGAATTACCAAAAGCACAACATTACTATACAATAAATTCATGGCATGAAGGACAAAGTTATCACACAAAATACCAATGTATTCCAATAGTCAATTGTTTTCCATAAGTACACAGTTATAATTCCATTATTTACCTCTACTTGGTATATCCTTTTGTTTAAAAAAAATCTGCTTCTGGAGAAAATTTTTTTTTTCCCTCAAAGGGAAATCCTAGCATTTTACTGATCATAGGGAACATGCAGACATGGAAGCTAAGGGTGATCACATGAGGCAAAAATCACTTTAAAAGCACAGAACTTCTTAGGTCTTTTAAGAAATGCCTCTTGATTTTTAGCTTACAAATATTTAAGACACAAAGATACAAGTATACCCAAGTCTTAAAAAATAATAACTAGAGAAGTTTAACATCTCCATGAGAAATATGACTATGTTGTTAAGTCTACATTACAGTACTTTATGAGATCTGTTCTCCTTTGAAGTATATACTTAATCTGTAAGTCTCAAATTTCAATCTTCATCCAGTAAGTGGAAACCATTTTAGGGTTTTTTTCTGGAAACGGAGAAATACATTACACTGAAGTGCAATGATCATAATGGAAAGATGAGAACTAGATTTTAAGATTCAAAATTTGCCCTCTTTTAAAGCTGTTGACAAAAGTGGGTGTAGAGCAGTAGGTGATTTTAAAACCAGGTATTCAGCTGATCTAGTCTAACTGGTAGAGTCACAGAGAAATATATTGAGAGCAAGAAAAACCAGCTTGGATCACATGAACTAAGATCAGAGTAGAAAAGTTAAAAATTAAGGTCAGTGAAAATTAAACCCCAGCCAACTCTCAAATTATAATTTTATCCCCCAATTTTGGGTTCTTCTTATGATTAGCAACTATATTAAAGATAGAATTTTTGTAAAATAATGGTTTGTGAAAAGATAAATTATTTTCATTGTAAAAGAATTCTGCTTTTGTGAATTCAAGTGTATCTTAGTAGGAACTCAAAATTTTACTCATTTTAAATTGAAATCATCCTGACGTGATCAGTTGTTGATTCTGTTATTTAAAAGATTCATTAGTTCTTAAATTTGTTGGTTAAAAATGAGGTATGATGCAAGCCTGTACATTTCCCACTGTTTACTATTAGCACTGGCACTTAATTATCCGTAGTAACAGAAGTAGGTATTAGCAAAGATAATAAAAATATCATTTTCATTTGGTTTAAGAATTCAGTAGCTCTCCATTCCCATAGAGCACTAACTTTGTAAAAATACAGAAGGTCTTTCATGTCATGCTAACCTTCCATTCAATTGGTTTCAGCTGTGAGGAACAAACTGTCCAGTCTTAAAACCATAATACCATGACTTTGCAGTTTCCCTATCAAACTCTTAGTCATCATTCACATCTCAGGTAAAGCAATGCTTCCGGTAAAATTTCCCCCAAGATTAAACACCCCTCCTGTATGCTCCCACAGTACTACTATGTACTTTACTAAGATAATAGCAGTAGTTGTTTATACATTAGTCTAATGACTAAATTGTGAGTTGTGGAGGGCAGATGCTGTCAAGCTCATTCTTGTAATGTGAAGCCCTAATCTAGTACCCTGGATACAACAAATAACAAATTATCAAAAAATGTTTTAAATAATTTTATAATTTTGCACTATTACAATTATTTCCCTAAAATATAATTACTAAAATGTGTGTAATTCTTGACAATACACCAGATGAAGAGTTGTGTGAAGTGGATAGAGCCAATTAAAAATTGGCTGAATGAGTGCCATGGATGGCTTTTTACATCCCAGTTGATTATACTGGGTTGGCGGAAAAGTCATGACGCATTTTTGCAACGAAAAACAGAAAAAATATGTCATGACTTTTCCCACAGCCCAATATGACACCTTCAAGTAAAACCTCCGTGCATGTCTATATAGGAGCATCTTTGCGCTTTATCTAGGAATATAAGCTCTTCTGCCAATGTGGCAGAAGGAGAAATCACTTATATTTAAATAAGTAGGAATTTTTAATCTTATTCAAGACATCAGACCCAGCATGCAATGGTTGGAAAAGACCCAAGACTATGCATACCATGCTTAAATCTACGGTATAATTTTGGGGAAAATAAGAGTTGTAGGAAGTTCTTATCTAAAAACATTTGTAGTAGAGAACTTAAATATATATACTGTGTGTGAAGCAGTCAGCACTCGGTGGCGGACACATTACAGGCAGAGAAAAACTTTAAGGTTATTCTGACCAGAATTCGTGCATATAAACAATTGGACATCAGGTATCAATTCCAACTGTTTGTATCCATTAAAAATTCACTCTGCAAGTATTAGGTCCACAAATATGTTGACTGCTACCGACTTACCCCATCTAATTAAATCCCCACCTCAAGTCTAGGAATTAACTGCTATACAAGGAAATCTGAAGAGGTTAAATAATTTAGGCAAAATCAATACTCAAACACTGACTTTAAAGCTTCATATATCACTGATGTTTCACAAAATGCTGTAGAGCTGTAAATGAAATACTGACCCCATTTCTGAAACAAAATTTTATCTCATGAAAAAAACCTAGTTACATTATATGTCTACCTTAACTACTTTTTAGATTAAAAATTCATCTTCAACCTTACCTCTTAGCTCCAGACAGAAATGGACAGATGGGATAAGAAAAGGGGAGACTTAAAATAATGAAAAAAGAAAAATACGTAATAAGTCCTACAAAATCGAAAAAAAAAATCTTACTACATTCAAATTCACTTGGCACGTTTACTCTTGAGTGCGCCCAACGACACTAGTGACGAATTTATTGCCAGGACAGAGTTTTTCCCCACCTATGATCTACCCTTGTACGCAGGAAAAAGTATTCATTGTAGTATTTTTTGGTGTGTTTGTACGCGTTCTGAAGTCTTCACTACGCAGTTTCATGAATATGAGGGAGCAGTCGACTACTATTGGTGCCTTCCATATTTTTCTTACGCCAACAGGTCCGTTTTTTAATACCTACCATCACCCATTTCAATTTGAAGAACATGTAATTTACCACAATACAAAACGCTGCCAGCGTTATCACGATGTTCAAGAACTGGAACATCCATGAGCAGCAGCAAACCTTCACCGCACCTGAGAGGCTGGGGCTGCCAGCAGGCAGGGCCCTAACCCTCCCCGCCCTCGGCGGCGCGCTCGCTAAAGACCTCGCTCCGGAGGACCCTCCGTCAGCCTGCGGAAGACGAGGCCGCCAAAGAGAAGGCTCCAGCTCCTCGCGCTCGCCCACTTCGCGTCTGTAAGGCGTACGATCGGTACAATCTGACCCCCTCCACCCGTCACGAACTCCGCCACAGGGCGAACGGAAGGCCAGCGGCAGAGGAGGCTGCGTCCGGCATCCTTCGTGCCCGCGGTCCGGGAAGGAAGCGGCCTCCGCTCCCCCCCCCCGGCCGACGCGACGTTGCCTCCCCTCCCCCACCCGCGGCCTTGCCTGGATCCACTTCCCCCAGGAGAAGCTCGAGCCGTGGAGCTTATTACCTCGGCTCCGGAGCTGGCACTGAACAGGGAGCGTCCGGCTCGCAGCCGCCACACCGTCGCTTTCCTCCGCCTAGTGCTAGGACTCCAGCGGAGTCAGAGCAGTCGACAGCGAAACACAATGGCGCCCGCCCCTCGCCGAGATCCGGCGCAGAACCAGCTGCCACCGTTAAATGCCCCTCCCTTCTCCTCCTCCCCCCGCAGTTCGCGGACCACGCCGCCGTTTTCTCGCGAGAGTGGGGGCGCTGCGGAGAGCCGAGAGCTACCGGCGGACTCGACGTGCCCCGCCGCGGGGTGGTGCTCTGATTGCGGCAACCGTTGAAGGGCTGCCCCGGAAGAGGCGGCGAGGCGCCACTGGTAAGCGCTGCGGCCGGTCGGCCCGCGGGCTGGCGGCTGGGCCGGCGAAGGTGCGGGCGCCAGGAGCTGGGCGCTGAAGGCCCAACCCCGGCTGGCCGCCCTCACCTAGGGGGCGAGGGGCTGCGATCCCCGGCGCCCGAGTCTCCGTTACAGGCTCTTGCTCCCTGCCGCAAACCTGCCGGGCCCACTGCTCTAAATATCGTTCCTCTTATTTTATTTATTTATTTTTTATTTTTTTTGCCCTTGGTAAGTGGCATCGTGAATGTTGAGCATTGACTTGAATCAAGCACTGCTTTTTCCGACCTCTCTTCCTCCCGTCCCTTGCCCGCCCTGTTTTACATCTGCGAGCCCTCCCCTTTCAGGGTTGGAACCGAAACGACCCTTTCGTTCCTGTCGCTGATTCAGTTTTGCTGGTGGTGTACGTTTACAGTCGTGTCTTTTTAAATCGTTGATACTAAGCTTTGATAGGGCAGCAGCAGCTTTTGCAGTAAAAATTCATCCATTTAGAAAGAGGATAATTGCGAGGCAAGTAGTCTGGTGAAATTAGATGAAAGTTTCAGAAAATTAAATGTGGTAAACTAAAATGTAAATGAATGCTAATACATAAAAGGGAGTGAGTTACAGGAAAGCCACAATTTATATGAGCTTAGATAATGTGTAGATTTAGATGATATTACAATATATGGATTTTGGAGAATGTGTCAAACATAAAAGCTCTTTACCAGTAGATGTAAGTTATTGGAACTTGTAGGCATACTGACAGCACTTGATTTGTAAAGTGACCTGTTTTGTTAGGTTGTTGTAAGCAATTCATTGGATTTAAATAGTCCCAATAAATGAAGTGTGAGGTTTATAAGTATTTTTTTGTCATTTCATCTTAGGGAAATACACTATTGCGATCATCCCCATTTCACTGTCTTTCTTCAAGGCTAACAGACTGTCCATGATTTTATTTATTTATTTATTTATTTTTGAGTATTTAATTATCTTTATTTTTAATAGAATGTATTTAAGTTTAAGTAATTTAATTTTTTTTTCTTTTTTTTATTGTTAGTTTCAGGTGTACAGAACAATACAATAGTTACCCTTTTTCACCCTCACCAGGTAACAACCCCCCTCCCCCCATCTATTGCCCTCTCACCCCCGATATCATGCTTATCTATTACAATTCCATTGAATCCGTTCCCGCTCTCTACTCCATGTCCCAAGACTATATGTATATATATAATTATAGTTGGCATACAGTATTAACATCAGTTTCGGAAATACAATGCGGTGGTCAGGCCTCTACATCGACTATGAAGTGGACTCCCCAAAAGGGCATGGGTCCATCTGGCCCCCTAAGAAATACTTACAACATTATAGATTATATTCCTCGGACTGTCTTTTTCTATCCCTGAGGCCATATTACAATTACCAATTTGTATTGTCTCATCCCTTCCCCTTCTCTTCATCCCCACCCCCTCCCAACTAACAACCCTCAGTTCTTCCTCTGTGTCTCTGAGACTATCTCCATCCACTTCTCCCATCCATTCAGTTCCTTAGAATCCACGTATAAGTGAGATCATATGATATTTGTCTTTCTCTGACTGACTTATTTCACTTAGCATAATGTTCTCTAGTTCCATCCATATTGTTGCAAAGGGTACTATTTCCTTCTTCTTTATAGCTGAATAATACTCCATTGTGTAAAAGTACCAAAGACTGTCCATGATTTTAAATAGTAAAATATTATAATTGTTAAAGATTTAAAGTTTGATTACTTTATTATATTATCATTTACAGTTGGCACATAAATACCGGTTTAACTTTTTAGGATGTAAGTTGAAGATTAAGCATCTGGTATAGGATAAGGCAAACACAGATTACTTTTGAGGAAATTAATTTGCCCTTTCTAGAAAGCTGACTTTTATCGAGCCTGCTTGAGAATACCTGTAGCACTGTGGTTATGAGTATATGCTGGTATGCACCCTGAAGCACCAGATTGCATGAGTTAAAACCCCAGCTCTGCCTCTTACTACCTTTGTTGTCTTGAGCAATCCTTAACCCTGCTAAGCCTAAATTTCCTGTAAAATGGGGTTAATAACAATACCTATACCCCCATTCGTTTGTTGAAAGGATCAAATGAGATAATGCATTAGTTCCTGGAATATAGTAAACATTCCATAATGGTTAGCTGTTACATTCCATGTCTAAACTACCACTGATGCTGTCTTTCTGGGACTTAATATTACAGAGGTCCCTTATACATCTTCTCAAGTATATTCTACACTAAGAGGAATGACAGCACCCTTTTCCTGAGCTATGGCAGTCAGACCTGGTAGCAGCACCTTCTCTACAGAACCCTCAAACCTGGCAAGGATGGTTCAGATTTTGGCAGATTATGGAAGCCCCACCCAGCACTGATGTTACCAGCAAAGGTGAGTTGGCACTGATTTCCTAAGCTAAACAGACCTTCCAGACTCTAGTTTCTTATTAATACTAGTAAATAGGTAAAGACCACTGGTAAGTGTATATTTGTTAAGAATGGTTATTTATTTACTTATTTATTTTACTGTACTTTCTCTGATTTGAGTTTCCAGGTAATTTTGTTATCAACAAATAATTGCAATTTTTCTATGTTAAAGACAATTTTATAGGAATTCTGGATACGAATAGGTACAATAGTGACTATATTTTCTGAACTAAGAATCAGAACAAAATGACTTGACAGTCAAAATAATTAAAATCAGAGCTATTCTGACCAATTAAGACTCTATGGTTGCCTTTTTTCACACAGAGTTCCCCCGTTTGACCTTCCTCTGTTGAACTTTTTGTCTTTATGACCAACTCTGACAAACCTTTCTGTATCTAAATCTTTGTTCACCACTTTCTCATACCACTCACATTAGTTTACATTTTTGAATTGGCTTCTTTAAGGTTTTACTACTATTATTAATGTTTTTCCATTTTTACTTTATAAATTTGTTATTTGGTCATGGTCATAACAGCCCTTTACTCTTATATTAAGTATTTATTTCTTTAACTACCTGATAGCTTAGAGTTTTCTTTACGATATTGAATTTCAAAGTTCCTGTTTTTCCCGCTTTTTATCCTCCCTCATCCTAACCTTCTAAGAAACTTCTTGATGACAAGGGCAATTTTATAGCTATTCTTTACTTTGCACAAATGGTGTGATCTTAAAAAAGTGTGGTTATATTTGCTTTTTGTAAATCAAATCATTATTTAATGTAGGTTATTTCTTAAACTTTTTAGGAACAGGAGGTATTACCTGAAATGAGAGGAGAGTGCTAATAGGGAGGTCCCTGAGTTGAAAACAAAGGATGCCAGTTTCTTCTCAAATGGGAGTTTTATTCATCCCTGGAGAAGGGAACCTTGTGGCATTAACCAACTTGAGGATCCACTATTTAGTTATAGGTAATGTTAAATATATAGTATTTATTATTTAACAATAGTCTATAGATTAAGGACTCTTTCTTCTAAGGAATACATTACTTAAAGGTCCTTTGCTATAAATCTTTGATGTAAAGAGTCACTAAACTCCTGATTCAGTGATTTTGTAAATTTTAATTTTCCCCTTATCAAGTTTAATTAAAAGGTGCCATATTTAATAAATGAATATTCAAGATATTCTGTTGGTTGACTTCTGCTGGATTATCAGCAATAACTTTCATCCCCAAAGCTAATAGATAAAACAATATAAAAACAAGTAAAGAGAATATCATATGAAACCCTCTCTGAGAAATTTTCTTACACGTAAGCTTATGGTCTAGAGTTCACCGGTTCTAGGAAGATCATTCCTGCTCATATAGCTAGCCGCTCCAGAATATCTGGCCTGGTCAGGGACAATTCCCAATTTATGGGGTACTTGGAATCCATATGTATATGAAGCACCTTTTACACTGCTTTTAATAACAGCAACTATCTTTTATTATTGACAATACTAGGGGTTGGAAAACTATAGCACACAAGCCAAATCAGGCCCACTACCTGCTATTGTAAATAGTTTTATTGGAACACAGCCATTACCATTAGTTTCTATGTCATCTATGTATTTGTCAGGGTTCTCCAGGGAAACAGAACCAATAGTATGCAATATCTATATCTATCTATCAATCAATCAGTCATCTAATCTACCTAATTTATCTTATGTAGCTATCTAGAGAATTGGCTCACACAATTGTGGAGGCTGTCAAGCTTGAAATTTGTAGCAAGCCAGACAGGAGTTGATGCTGCAATCTTCAGGCCAAATTTCTTCTCCAGAAGAGCTGGGGTTTTTTTGTTTTGTTTTTAAGGCTGATTGGAGAAGGCCCATCATATTATCAAGGGTAATCTCCTTTACTTAAAGCAAAAACATTGTTGATGTTAACCAAATTTACAAAATATCTTCACTACAGTGCCTAAATTAGTGTTCGATTAAATAACTTGACTCGAGCCTCACCATGTTAACACATAAACTAAACCGTCACAGTCTGTGATTGCTTTCACTCTACAACGGCAGAGTTGAGTAGTCGTGACATAAACAATATGCCCCAGAAAGCCAAAAATATTTACTGTGTGGTTATTTACAAAAAGTGTGCTAACCACCGGAGTAAACTGTAAAACCAGACAGATTGAACTGACCCCTTTTCCTTTAATATGGTCAAACTAAACACACACACTCACAACTTCAGAGTGATAATAGTCGGGGACTATGTTAGCCTCCATGGCCACTTCAAACTACATTTTATGAGACTTCAAGCAGAAGAGGATCCAATACTGATATAAATTCTTTGGGCATTTCCCGAGGCAAATTTGATTGCAATCCCAGTTTTATCTTAAATTTTTTTCATGTCCACATCTGTGTACAATTTCATAACTATGTATATACGTGATTACATCATACATACTAGCTATTTTAGTATAGTCCTTTTATTTGTTTTTTTTCTCTTCTGCTGTATCCCCCTTTATTTTTATGTTTTCTCTTTTCCTTTTTAATTTGACTCTCCTGCCTCTATTTACTACTCTACAACATTCTTGCAAAATTAGTGAGTATCCTGCATTTTTTTCTGTATGGTCACAATCTTAAAAGGATAGTTGTATCACTCACAAATAAACATACACACAGATACTTATATATAGTTTCTTTTACCATTTACTTTATAAAACAGCATCAGATTTCAACGTGCATATTCATCATATTTTTTTCAATCAAAAGTACCTCTTCTTTAAATTCCTGTTTATACTGCTTGAGTATCCTTTCTTTTCAACTTGTAATAGATACTACCTATCTGTCCTGTAGTCACAGTGTTTTTCCACTCTATTATCTGCCTGTCAACTTTGACATAGATACATTCATATAGTAAAATGTGCCTATGATTTCTTTTACAACTTTTGGGTTTCCGGCTTAGCTTAAAGGGTCTTACCTATCCCTGTATCATGCAGTATCCTGGATTTTCTAGATTGTTTAATTAAACTCAAATTAATTTTTGCATATGGAATAAAATAATAAGTTCTAATTAATTATCTTCTCAGTGCAGCTAGTTGTGCCAATAACATTTCTTAAATAATTGGTTCTTTGTGATTAGAAAGGCTACCTTTGCCATACATTGAATTTCCAAATTTATACTGGGTTTATTTCTGCATTTTTTATTTTGAAAAATTAAACTATTCAGAACTATAAGCTATACAAAAAACTAAGTATTGTTTAGATCCCTTTTGAATCTTATTCTTGTATTAACACTGTTCTGCATTTGTCACCTACCTATTCAATTATAAGAACTGGTAACTAGGTTGAGAGACCCAAAATAGCACAGTAGGTTAACGCTGTGCTTACCTTCTCTCACAACCACATCAAAATTACAACTAATCTACAAAACAACCATTATCAAGAATCACTTAAAATCACGCTGAGCTGAAGCCTTTCATCTGCAGAAGAAGCCATCTCCAGACTAGTAGGAAGTGCAGAGACACGGAATGGCTGAACGCACACCCATGTCTGATCATTAAAGATTGGGAAGGCTATTTCGACTGTGGAAGTCTTCACACACCAGAGGAGCCAGAGGTCCCATCCCCACCCTTGCCCAGGGTTCCATTGTCGGGGAGAAAAGTCCCTATAATTTCTGGTTGTGAAAACCAGCGGAGAGCTGGCTGAGTGGCTCAGTTGGTCAAGAGCTCGCTCAAGAGTGCAAGCTCTGAGCAACAGGGTCGCTGGTTCGATTCCCACATGGGCCCGAGCTGAGCTGCCAACAGGTGGCAGGATGGCTCAGCTTAAAAAACAAACAAACAAACAAAAACACCAGTGGAAATTGTGACTTGAGTGAGACTGAGTGTGGCTGCATTCCCAGGCGCTCCGCTTAAAGAGACTGTGCCCAGACTTACCTACCAACAGAATCACTCGCCCTGAGCTCCAGCACTAGGGAAGCGGCTGGAGAGGTGGCATGGATATACAGGGCGGGGGTAGACTGAGTTGTCTGGCTTGGGTCGGGGGCTGGAGAGGCAGCTTTCTCCTGGATGGAGGAGCTGATGGAGGCATTGTTTCTTTCCTGAGCCCTCCTCCTTCCCTGTCTGTGGACATGGAGGCCACCATATCTGAGTCTCCACCATTTGTTCACCATGCCCTGGTGATTCAACATGCAACCCCACCCAACTTTCAAGCACACCCATGCCGCTTCCAGTGGCTTTTTCATGCAGACCACCTGCCTTGGCTCAATCTGCGTACTTTCCTAGGGTCTTTCAAAGGTCTGGGACACAGACAAGCAGCACCTGGCTTGAGTGTGTCCGGTACCTCTGACTGAGCAACCCTAAGCGGGGCATTAGCAGCAGCTGGCCATGGTTGATGTCTTGGCCTCTCAAGGCACCTCCAAGCACAGTACAGGCAGCAGCCATCTGCAGATTTCTTTGTGGCTCCTGCGGGGTGGCCCCAGGTGGGGCACGGGCTGGGGCTGAACTTGTCCTACAGTGGATCCCGTCCAAGGTGGTTCTGGGGCTGGCGCCCCCAGTGGTCAGCTACAAAACGAGCTGGAGCATTACCCAGCCGCTTCCAAGTATGACACACCCAAGGAGCAGATTGGGCAGGCACCAGAGTCCTCCTGAGGCAGATCCTGTTCCATAGGATCAGCCCCTGCACAACAACTCTTCCACTATAGTCAAGCCAGTCCTCACAAGGAGTAAGCCCCAGGGTCAGTCCCTCCCATTGAAGTGCAATTATCAACCAAGGCTCAACTACAAAAGGAGGGCACACACAACCCACACAAGGGACACGCCTGGAGTGCATGGCTCAGGTGATCAGAAGACTGTGCCACTGAACCCTATAGCACACCTACTACATATAAGGCCACTCTACTAAAACAAGAAGACATAGCAGCCCTACCTAATACATAGAAACAAACACAGGGAGGCAGCCCAAATGGGGAGACAAAGAAACATGTCCCAAATAAAA